ATTTTTTTTTTTTTTTTTTTCTTTTAGGAAAATCAACAAGCGGAACAATTCTTATTTCGGGACGAGCGAAATGTATTACTCGAGTAGATGAAAAGTAGTTGCAGTTTTTTAGTTATCTCGCGATGATCTCGCTGTGATAATAAGGCGAAAAAAATAGAAAAATATTGTTCTATTAAAAATAAATAAAAGATAGTTTACTTTCTTATCTTCCCCTGTTTCGCAATGAGAGACAACAACGTTATTACCCTCTTCAAGTTCGTCAAGAGATTGCTTAATGTATCGTGGAAAAATTAGAAAAAAAGCGAGATTCTTGCCAATTACGCGTGCCAAATTGTGTAACATTTTCGATCACACGTGTATATACCCTCTCTCGAGTAAAAAAGAGAAGAGAAATCGATAAGATTAATCGTTATTCGTTGCTAAAAATCTGATTTCGATCTGAATTCTCTCCTCCGCCTCGTCCGCGGTAGCGGTTTTCGATACACGCCTTTGGCCTTGACCGGGCAAAGGTTTCGAAGGCGAATAAGAAGAGCGACGAGAGGTCGCGAGTGGGTGCCGCTCTCCACTCGCGCAAGGATGACACGGGAACGTACTTGCAGAAGGGGCTAGTGGTGCACGGTAGTGCAGGTGTAAGAGCATACATACATATATATATACATATATATATACATAAACGTTCTAAGCTCGTGCGAGGGCGTGTATATCCTGACATTGTAAAAGTTGCCGTTACACTTGCGTAGCCAATTGGGTAGGCCGAGACTCCCCCTAGGACGGCCCAGATCTCTCTTCTGCTCCTCTTCTTCTCTTCCTCTTCTCTCTTCCGTCCTCCTCCTCCTCCTCCTTCTTCTTCTTCTTCTCTCTTCCCTCCGCTTCTCTCCTCCTCTCGCCCCCTTTTTCTTCGATTTTCTCCCCCTGATTCCTCCTCGTATCCCGCCTCTCGCCGAGCTGCCCTCGCGGTATCGTCGAGCTGCCATCTCGAAAAATCCGTGTCCTTCGCTCTGTTAAACCGCGGTAGGTTTCCCGCACCCGGTCACCACTTGGCTCCGTCGTTCGCGAAAGATCTCGATACAGGACCCCGGGGGAGGGAGGCAGGGGGAGGAGATACGTATATACGAAGATCGGCACGGCTACCACCGTTCGGAAATTTGCTGCCGATCCCGATAACATCGACGAGCTTTTACTTAGTTTTATACAGGAGTGTATCGAAGAATGCCGAGGATATTATACATGTATATATATATATATATACATATACTTTTCCTTCCACTTTCGAAATCCTCTAATCGAGAGAACAGAAGGAGGAGCAAGGGGAAAACTAGAGTAGGAATGCGAATCGAGAGGGGGGACAACCGTATAGATCGTCACCTCAGCGACAGAAACTATTTAAAGTGCAGCTCTTGTGCGCGCTCTTGTGCCGGCAGGTTGATATAGGATGCAACAGCTGCGATCGGATCGTACGTACGGCGTGCGAACAGCAGCCGATGGTCACACGAGGGCGCTCGTATTCCGTGCCGCGCTCGTCGTCGCCCGCCCCATTGTGCTGTCTTATTACGGCGCTCGATTTAACGGGGGGAAAAACGCACCCTCCCCTCTCTCCCCCCGCGAAATCATTATCATTCTCTCGCGGTAGAGTCGGCATTCGAAAAATTGAGGGCGGGATCCCCTCCCCCCCCCCTCTTTCTCTTTATTTCATTTCTTATTTTATTTTCAGGCACTCGCTAAGGCAGCACATGCTTCGACACGCTGGGAAGAAGTACAAGTGCGGGCTTCCGGGATGCCCGACCGTGCTTCGAACAGCGTCCGAGCTGAGATCGCACGTGAGCTTGGTTCACGACGCTACGCCGTCCACCAGACGTTACAAATGCTCGGACTGCACTTACGCGGCCAAGACGAGGACCCAGCTTCGACGGTAAGGTTTTTTGAAGAATTTTTCTTGGATCAGGCACGCCTGTAGTATGCGACGAGACGCGTTGATCGATGCGTTTGCGGAAGCGGTGAATTAATTGCTATGGGCGTAGCAGTACTTTGAGCTCGTGGACAAGCCAGCTGATGCGCGTACGTGATTTTCCACTCGTTGCCTATCGAAGTATAGATGTATATATATATATATGTAGTATCGTTGAATAATGTTATCGATACAATTTACTTTGTCGGAGTTGTAAGTCACGCTGCAATGCGTCTTTCTTCCCCCAATGCTTCTGTATCGTGTATATATCATCGATTTTTTCCCCCCCCCCTCTTAATTAAAATCACAAAGAAAACGTACGATGGAATAAATTGATTTACGAAGTTGCGTGATTCTAGATTAGAAATCGCGTCGGGTTATCATTTCTATTGGAAAGATATGGTTGAATTCTCGAGAAAGGGTTGGAAATCTTTCGAGTTATCGATTCGATTCATCTTATTCGAAATCTTTTCGGATAAAAGTTTGTATGAATTTGATTTTTTTTTTTTTACGAGATCGTAAAATGATGGAAGAAGCGTGCGATTTCGAATGGTCGTACGATTTCTATTTTTCTTATTCGATTTTTCGAGGCGATAAAAAGAAAACGTCGAGTGATTGATTTTCCGATAAGTAGCTACTATAAACTTCGCAGAGGAAAACTTTGATTTATAAGAGATCCGAGATTATTTTAAACTTGAGTTACATTTCGATTTATGAAAGGGAAGGGAATGAAATGAAACAGTCTTACGAAAGAATATTGTAGAACTTGGCCGCCATTATTTTTTTTTTTTTTTTTTTTTAAAAACGATCCTCTCTGTTAACTCTCAGTTGTCCGAGCAGACAGGTGGTTGAACGCTAATACCGGAAAAATATGCAACGCGCGTATATATCGTAGATTACGCACGAAAGCGGCCGATTCGATTTAAATTAAGTCTTATTAAGGACATTGTACAGTGGAAGGCCTCTAATAAATTTCATCTCGTTTGATTCGTTGTCCTTTTGAACTCTTTCTTTTTTTTTTTTTCTTTTTTTTCTTTTTCTTCTCTTTTTGTTTTTTTTTTTTTTTTTTTTTTTTTTTTTTCTTCTCTTTTTTTTTTTTTTTTTTTTTTTTTTTTTCTTCTCTTTTTTTTTTTTTTTTTTTTTTTTTTTTTTTGCGTCCGACGAACCGCGGGCAAAGAGGAACAGGGAAAGAGGGAAAGAGAGGAACGGTGGGGGGATGATCGAGGGAGACAGCGCGACACGGAGGGAGGAGGGAGAAAGAGGCCGAAAGCGGAAGTTGCGTGCAGCAGTCGGCCAAGTGCGGGCAACCCGTTATGATCGTCCGCATGGCGATGGTCGACGCGATATTTCATCGCGAATTGAGTACTTACTACGTGAGTCGAACTCAACGCAGCCACAGAGTGTCACGGTCCTCTCTTTCTCTCTCTCTCCTTCTCTCTCCCACCTCCGTTTTCCCTCCCCCTGAACCCTCATCACTAGCTGCATCCTTCACTTTCCCCCTCTCGCGCCCCATTCTCCCCCTATCCACGTTCCTCTTTCGTTCTCTTTTTCATCGTTGTCCTGGAGTGTCACCTCTCCCTCTCCCACTCCTGGCCGCCAGGCTTCCCCGTCTCTCTCTCTCTCTCTCTCTCTCTCTCTCTCTCTCTCTCTCTCTCTCTCTCTCTCTCTCTCTCTCTCTCTCTCTCTCTCTCTCTCTCTCTCTCTCTCTCTCTCTCTCTCTCTCTCTCTCTCTCTCTCTCTCTCTCTCTCTCTCTCTCTCTCTCTCTCTCTCTCTCGGTCTCGCTCTGTGCGGCGGAGTAAATCACAGAGGATTTTAATTAAACGTGTCACGCATTTCGAACCTGATATACACGTAACCATGGCCAATGGCTCCCTCGTAATATCGCGCACGCATATCGCGTCGCTCGTAATCATCGGCCCTGATACGACGATGAACTTTCCGCTGTTACGAGACCTTTAAAATTGCCCTTTCGTCGAGAACGTCGATCGAATTGCTGCTCTCACGAAAATTTTAATTTTATTTTCCAGCCACCGTGCACGCCACGACGGAGCGGAGAACGCCACGAAATCGGATCTTCGCCCCTGTCCATACACTGGATGCGCTTTTCGTACTAAGATCGCTTCTCATTTGCAACGACACGTGCGCCTCCATACGGGCACTAAGCCGTACAAGTGCCGCCATTGCTCTTACGCGAGCAACAATTTGGTAAGTCGAATCGAGTATAATCGAGTATAAATAACGACACAGAGAATCCTCGTCATTGGCCCGAACGCGAACAAAGATCGAATCGGAAAGGAGAAATATCGGTCTTGTATTCCGCTCTATTACGGTGTACACGGGATGGGAAACGGAGGTTGACTCGCAGTTCAATTTTTGTATCCGCGGTGACTCTGCGGCGTAAATTAAGCAAAGTACACCTTAACGTTTGGACCATGCCGCCGCCTCTGCCGCCACCGAGGCGCGATAAGATAACGAGTTAATTGTGCTCACTGGATGCCCACACACGCACGGCCCAGTCATACCGAGCGGCCGGTATGCTAATGCCCTTTGAAGCTTTAGTTAGGATGCGACTCGCATACGAGGGCTCCGTGTCTCTTTGATAGCGACATAAACTCATTCCAGTGGCTCTCAGTCGCTGGGATAACTTGAGCCAAGGTAATCTCGCGGTACGGAGAATTGCGAATGGTACGTCTTGCATCGGTAATGATACAGGCGGTAGGCACTTCTGAATCGTACCAAGTCGCTGCGCATAACTATACGAAAGATGACAAGGCCTTCTGGGCTCGTTTTAACCTGTTTTCGTTCTTCGCGGTTGAATCGATTACGATCGCCAATTGGACGATTGCTACATTAATAATGGCCGATTCAAACGATGCATTCGAGCGGTTTTTTGATTGATTGAATGCGATATGGAATGAAAAATTGGATTCGTGCGAAAAGAAAAATTTTAAATTAAATCGATACGTACTAAAAACGTATACACGTTTGAGAGTTGAATGTAATACGTGTATTTGTAAATTTTGAGAAATTACTTTAAACTGTATGAAATTTAAATATAATAAATCATGAAGAAAAAAAAATTATAAAATGAATCACAAAAAAGATTTCTATTGAAAATTGATTAGAAATTAAACTTCATTAACGTTATTTTGATTTTAGGGAAAGCAAGAAAAGTTTCGTTTTGAATTTTTGATCTATATTTTAACAATAAAAAATGTGAATTAACTTATATTAAAACATGATTTATCGTTGCTTAGATATTTTTCATTTAATTTTCCATTTTATTTGACATTACTTATCATGATAATATCATAAATATATTTTACAAGATATTTAGAATATTAATTAACTTTAAATTATCTCTCTTTTTGCAAAATACATAAATAGTTTATGATTAATAATTAATTTATTTTATTTTTTCATTAATTTTCACTAATTAATACTAATATCTAGAATTTACGATTCTAAAAACGTGTTGTCTAATTTAACATCATTTTTAATGAATTTTAATGAACTTTAACGTTCATTTGATGTATTATTGCATGCATCGATAAAATTTCTGAGATCAGTTTTGATTTTCAAGAAAGATATGAAATCATATGAACGTTGAACAAGTTTTAAAATGCATATACATTTGAAAGTAAAAGCAAAGTAAAAGTTTTTTCCAAGTAATAACTTTCGCTCTTAACATAGTATTCATTAGTGAAAAATAATTCTCTCAATATGATTTAGTCTCAAATGTATTCGCAAACAATTACATGCATTCTCAATCAAAGATTAGTTGAAAATCAACATAAGAATAGTCCAGAAGCAATATAATCGTTTACTCGACGAGACTTTTAATAAGGAACGTGCGAATAGCTTCAACAATTTCCTTTTTCCATGAGTGGATTGCCTTGCGTCAACGAGATTACACCTTTCCACTTTCCTTCCTTCCTTCCTACATCCATCCAGTTTATGATTTACCTCGGATGGCTACACGCTCCTTCTTTCCTCTTGTCATCCATGTTCGTACACAGCTTTTTTCTGTCATCCGGCATGTCATTCTCTTCACTTCTCCTAGAGTTAGGAAAACTTACTCCATTTCACTTCGTGACAACGAAGGCAATCTTATTCTCGCATCTGTTTCTATACATCTCTTTTTTTTTCCATTATTGCTCCTTAATTTTCTCTTCTTCTAGGTGGTCTCCGTCCTGTGTATAAACAGCGAAAAATAATAAAAATGAAAAGGGTAGCCGATGAAAGCGATACGATCGATTTATCCGCGATCTTGGGCGAAAATTTAACTGGAGGGATGGTTCTCGACAAACTCGGATACGAAACGGAATAAGCGTCGACCGGAATTTATTAGTTATCGGTTAAAATGTGGAAACGCCCGCCGATTCGATATCTCATCGATAAAAATCTTGACATGGGTTAAAGATCCTGGCAGTTTGCGCTTATAATTTTACAATCCTCTTCGGTCAGCGGCCGGCCAAGGGAATATCGGATTTTTTGCCGTATATTCGATAATTTTCATGCGAGTATTATGTTATATACGTGTGTACATTACGGGAACATTTACGTTCGTGTTACGCGCACAGTAGTGGTCTACGGGTAGAAGAAAATTAATATTACCCCTGCACTGGAATCCTGAAAGAAATAAAGAGGAGAGAAGTTAAAGCAGCGCGATTTGAAATCCTAGAACGGTGCCTCGTAAAATCGAATATTCTATGGTTACCGAGTTATACGTATTTACAGCATGGATGTAAAATTATATCAGAAAGAAATCGATCCGATTAATGAAAAGTGTACGAACGAATTGCGTGACGGTTGCACACTTTCCACGGTTGGAATGATTTCCCGTAAAAGGTGGACGACCGCCCATGACGGTGTGAACGGGTCTTTATCCGAGACCGTCACGGAGCGCTGGCCGTGCAGAAAGATTTACTTATGGGAAATTAAATTTGATGTTGCCGTTGCCATCAACGGCTCGTATAAGCCCGCCTGGTAGGAAGATGTTTACGACTACGGCCAGCTACTTAGCCCGAGAGGGTAAAGCGCCTTTAAATGCTCCATGGCATAGCCAATGAACGCGTCCGGTTTGCGGCAGACCGATTCTGGTCCCAGGTATTCACCGCCGACCGATACCAACGAAACCCTGTTTCCGACCATCCTGACCGTTCCCCAATACCGGCTCGGCTCTCCATCTCCAATGTCCTCACTCTCCGAGTGTCGCGTATTCACCACCCACCTCTTCCTTTTTCTCCGCATTTTCTTACGCTCTCGTTCACGCACAATCCTTTCTCGCTTGGTTGACATCCAACTACGATTCGATTCGGATCTTCTATCCACGATGCCTCCAGAGATATCTAATACACGTAACGTACGAGATGAGTAGGTGTGGCATGATGATTTGGCAGATATTCATTGTTNTTGCACTGATCGTTAAATGAGTACAATAAGTGAGTGTAATGCTTTATAGAAGAGGTTATTATTA